CAGTAAGTAAGGGCCGTATGTACGGCCATTTTAGACAGTTTCCACTTGTGTTTTCTTGCTCTAATTGACTCCCGAAGTCTCCTGTCTTCTTGATGTTCATTTAAACAATTGGAAGATAATCAGAGATCTCCGTGTCACAGGATGGGAGAGGATCCAAAGAAGCATGAGTTAGCATGACGCAAAACACTGAAAGACTGACTCATTTTAAAGATCCAACATGGTGAAACCGATTTTTACTGTGTTTTGTAGTTATAATAAACTGGGAGGTGTGAAATAAAAAGCTGGTAAGATTTCTGCCATTCCATAAGCCTTCCATAGGCCTTCCTTTATCTCGCACACTCAGTTCCATCTCTGCCAGTCATAGACGCAGAGGGAGTCTTCTTCCTGAATGGGGCGGGGACAGCAGTCGCTCAGCTTTATTTAAAGCGACACACACTGAAACAGCCTGTTTAGAAAAGGACTTAAACTAGAAGTTATACAGTCATGGTGAAATGAACCATCTTTGCTGTGCTGAAAAGCTGACAGACACACTCCAGGGACATGCAAGAAATTAATTAATTTGGTGAAAAAGGCAGAATGTGCTAGAACCAGTTCTGTTGTGGACCCGTAGAACCAGGGTGGCACCCAGCGAACCAGCCCAAAGGTTGGCAGATGAGCCGATGCATCACCATAAAAGTAAATCCTTAGGTCGTAGGTCCTTATTGAAAACATCCAGAACTGGATGTTTACGAGATGGACACAAGTAAAAGCACAACTGATGGTTTTCAGTTGCATTACTTTGATGTTGATTGTCCGTGTATGAGGTTTGCTCTTTTGAGGCTTCAAGCAGTAACCGTGTTAACTGGTTGTTGCTTTGCTTTGCTTTGCTTTGTTTTGTTGGAAACATACGTAACAGTTCAAGTTTAGGTTCACAAACGAGAACAGAACTGGTTTTGTGCTGTTAGGAGGAAAATATTCGGAGGTGTTCTGTGGTTGCTGGTTTTGCGGTTGTAATACACAGTTAATGGGTTCCTGTTCACACTCCACCTCCTTCCTCAGGTATAACCAGGTGAACGCCATCAGCCTGGCCTGCAGGACTGGCCTGCAGGAGTGCCAAACTCTGACCACGACTTGGTTCAGCGACTGGATGAACTCTGACATCAACCAGTGAGTCGACAATTTCTCCTGACCACTATTTTAATTACCTTTGCTGCAGAGTCTTTGATCAAGTCCAAGTCAGGACCCTAGTCTTGAGAAGGCTCGTACAAGTGAAGTCTGTGGAGGGCTAATACTAATCAAGTCCAATCAAGGTCTCAAGTCTTTAGATAGGACAAGTTCAAGTCAAAGCTCAAGTCAAGTGTGAAGTTGTTAGAGGGCTAGAAAAAGTTTCAAATCCAAGTGAATCCTCAAGTTGGTAGAGAGCTAGTCCAAGTCACATCTCAAGTCCAAGCCAGGTCTGAAGTCTTTAGATAGGACCAGTCCAAGTCAAATCTTAAGTCACTTCTCTAGTCTTTAGAGGGCAAATGCAAGTCCAGTCCAAGCCAGGTCTCATGTCTTTAGACAGGACTATCCCAAGTCAAGTCTCAAGTCTTTAGAGTGCTAGTAAAAGTCTTGAGTCTAAGTAAACTCTCAGGTTGATAGAGAGCTAGTCCAAGCCAGGTCTCAAGTCCAAGTCAGGTTTCAAGTCTTTAGAGGGCGAGTGCAAATCAAGTCTAAAGTTTAAGCCAGGTGTTAAGTTTATTTGGGCGAGCTCGTCCAAGTCAAGTCTCAGGGTCTTGGGTCTTCAGAGGGCTAGTTCAAGTCAAATCCATGTGAAGTCTCACATCTTTAGAAGGCAAGTCCAAGTCAAGTCTTAAGTCTTTAGAGAGCTAGTTCAAGTCAAATCATACTCAAGTCAAGTGTCAAGTCTTTAGAGGGCTACTAAAAGACTCAAATCGATGTCAACTGTAAAGTTGTTAGAGAGCTATTCCAAGTCAAGTGTCAAGTCTTTAGAAGGCAAATCCAAGTTGGGTCTCAAGTTTTTAGAGAGCTACTCTAAATCAAGTTTCCAGTCCAAGTCACCAGATTAAGTCTCCTCAAATTTTTGCCCTCAAGTCTTAAGTCAAGTCCTCTTTTTGTGACTCGAGTATGCATCTCAAGTCTACAGCTTTCCCTCGCTGTACATACAGAGCCTCTCTGTCATCTGCTGAACTTTAATGACATCTTCTTCCTTCAGGATCCACCCCAACCTCCGGTCTACTGTGTACTGTAACGCCATCGCAGCAGGGGGCGCTGCAGAGTGGGAATTTGCCTGGTCAAAGTTTAGGAGCACCAGCCTTGCCATTGAAGCTGACAAACTGCGTGCTGCGTTGGCCTGCACCAAAGAGTCCTGGCTGCTGAACAGGTCAGTTCACACACAACCTTGTTAATATTCATCACACTACAGCGTCTAACTTCCAGCCATTGACCAGCACACGTCTGTTCGTACCTGTGCAGGTACCTGGAATACACTCTGGACCCAAACCTGATCCGGAAACAGGACTTCAGCTCCACCGTCATCTACATCGCCAACAATGTAATCGGTCAGCCTCTGGCGTGGGACTTTATCAGGGCTAATTGGCCCTACATCTTCTCTGAGTGAGTACGACTAAGATCTCTGGTTTATGACGCAGGTTACCACAGTGTGAAAGGTGCAGCTTTATGGTGTGTTAGATAACGCACCATCATTATAAAATGAAACATCATCGCAGATAAGCAGGTTTACTGTTGTTTTTTTTTTTTTTTTTTTATCAGTGACATATTTTATTGACCCAGCAGGTTCAGAGTAATCCATCCCTCAGGTGTCCTTTGGTCCTCATAAACCCCGCACTCCTCAGATAGGAACATGGTTTGATGTTTGAGTGATTGTTGTGTGATTTTGACAAACAAAACCAGTTATTCTATTAAAGCTTGAGATTAAATAGCAAGTGGATGTTGGTGGAAAAGTCAGGAAAGACTTATGGCAGATGCCGACTGGGTGACAAGGGATTTTTTTCTACATATAACAGAATCTGTGCAATGTCACTATTTTCACTATTAGTATGATTTATTATTGGAAGAATCTGTGTATTNCCACATAAAACAACACAAAAGTACAAAAAAATGAAACAGAACTTGGCATAATGCAGTAAAAAGAAAAAGAAAAAAAACAGTGTAAAAACATTTACATTTAAAATAAAAGAAGAGAATAGAAAAAACATTTGAGTTTTGCAATGATGAAAGTAAATAGTAAAGAAAGCCTGGACACCTTTAAGACACAGTGAATAAACGAGGCTGTACAGATGACAACAAAAAAGTAGTAATTAATACGTCTAACTGTGTGTTTTCTGTGGGTTTATAGATCCGTATCTTCGCCCGGAAGCCTGCCATCGCTGCTGGCCAAGGAGACTACGCTCTCAACAAAACTGGACCCATCCTGAAATTCTTTGAGAACTTTTACAATTCCACCTACCCTCTGCCCAAGTCTGGTAAGTTGACACAACGGTCTGGTTCAAAGACACAAAAAGGCACCGTGACTGTTTATATTTCTTGTTTGAAAGTCACAGAGTTCAGTTAAAAATGAGCAGAAATTACCAGAAAGACACACAGACTGGCCACAAAAAGACAGAAAATGACCACAAAGAGGCACATAATGTCCACAATGAGGCACAAAATGTCCTCAATGAGACACAAAAACTGTAGATAGACACAAAATGACAACAAAGAGACACAAAATGAACAGAGAGAGACACAATATGACAACAGATAGGCGCAAAATCACTCAAAAAACACAGCAAATGACCACACAGAAACTAAATAACTACAAACAGATGTTAGATGACTACAAATGTCTGCAAACACCCAAAAAGTTGCCACAAATTGAACTAAAAGAGTACAGACAGATGCCAAATGACTACAAAACGACACAAAATGACTACTGAAGCACATACAGTGACNTGCCCGCTGTGCTGGAGCTCTGACTCCATTCAGTCCTCAGTCCTCACCGCTGTCTTCTCAGCAGTACATGAGGAAGCTGCAGCCAGGCAGCATCACAGGAGTGGGCTGAGCGGAGCTACTGACAGATGAGTTCATAACGGCGTTGGGACTTTAACAATGACTCAGCATGTCTCCTGTTTCACTTCAACTCTCTTTGCCATGAGTCAGGACGACTGACGCGTGCTTCGTTGCGTCAGTCATGCTTTTTTACATTGCATTGCTAAAGTTATGCTAACCTAGCTTAAGCTACTCCCTGTCTGTTTATGTTAGCAATAACATCGCTGTAGTTATGCCAACCTAGCATAGCGTTAGCTAACTGCTTAAAGCCAGTAAGTAACTGTAGAAATAAGTGTAGAAAATATCTGAGAGTACAGAACGACCGTTTGTCACTCCGTCAGCTTGTTATTGATGATATCAATGTTAATTCAAATGCTAAAGCTATGTTGTGATTGTCCATCAATCTAGTCGTGTCGATCAAATGAATACAGGACTTGCTGGAAATCACAATATGGTGGAAGTGAGCTGCTTGGTGGAGGTCTGCGCCCTCAGAGTGCTCTTCTAGTGAGCCATGTTGTACAAACTCACCCCATTTATGAACAGCACACAAGCTCACATTTGGCTGCATATTACTTCTTTCATTTATTTGAAAAATATTTTTTTATTTTTTATATTTATCGCTGAGCTCGGTGGTTTGCAGCAGCGTCGTCCTTTTTTATACTGGAAAAGTAATTCAGTTCTATTTACAGCAGACCAATGAGCTGGAACTGTTAATACTTCACTTGTACTTCTATCTATTTTATTTTGTTTATTTGATATTGAGAACGATGCAGCAGTATTTCTGTTACATTTGTATACATTGTACATTTAATTTGATTCACTGAGCTGCTAACAGCTCTTTGGTTTAATACAATAAACAAATGTTTTGTATTAATTATGAGCAGGTTTATTTATTTATTTATTTTCCCCTTAACTGAGAACCGAACCGTGACTTCCGTACTGAAATACGTATCGAACTTTTGTGTACCGTTACACCTCTAGAAATTAGACTTTGACTCTTAGAGCTCTGAGAGGAAGTTGTTTGCATATTTATGTGTGTTAGATAGCTTTTTTTGGGCACAATTGAGCCAACATGATTAAATAAGTAACTATACTGACACAACAAAACCAAACTGAAATCAGAAAATCTACTTATTTTGCTGCCAAAGCTTTAAACATGCATATGAACACAAAAAAAGTACAAAAACTAGTATAGTTTAATATACACAACTTTTCAGATTCTAGTCACACAGCATACCTATATACATTAAAAATAAATAATATGATCCAGACGGACAACTTTTTATGTATTTGTGCCGCTCATTCTTACAGTTCTGGAAACATCTGCGTACTTTTGGATCCAATCAAAGTTTTTCTATGGTCCAATTTTAAATAAAATGTGCACGTTTCAAATTTATATGATTACATAAGCCTTCTACAAAGTCCAACAAAGCTCAGGGTGCCCTATGAAGAGTTAGCTTTCACAATAGGAAGCTTTGTCATGTGTTTGTGATTCACGCTGCTGTAACGGTTAAACATTCACCATGTTGCTCATTGAACATTTCCACATCTTCCACACATCCCAGAAAGTGCTGCACATTTTAATAAGTGTTAGTGAAAGTAGGTATTGTCCCTTAAGGAATACAAAGGACAGTGAACTGCTGCTGACCCCAGTGTGTCCTCAGGTTTCCAGAAAAAAGCCAGACTATTACTTTCTGTGATGTCACTTTTTTTTTTTTCTTACCTGTGGCCTGTTTTTGGGGGGGTTTCTTTACTGTAAAAATTGTCCTTTACAAGTCCTGCATATAAGATATTTTCAGAAAATGTGATAAGTTTGCAGACCACTGTACCACCGCAGTCTAGAGACTAAACATTTTTTTTAATGCTGAGGGCATCACCGTCATAGAAAAGTCACAGAAAGACGCTACCTACACAGCTAGTTTCATAGAATACAGCTAACTGCCAGTTAAAGTCATAGAAAAATGCCAACTATAAAACTAAAGTCATAATAAGATGCTAACTACACAGCCAACTGCATAGAAAGAAGGCGACTACACAATTAAAGTCATAGAAAGAAGCAGACTACACAGTTTAAATAGTTGAAAGAAGCTAACTACACAGCTAAAGTAATTGAAGGAAGCTAACGACAGCTAAAGTAATTGAAGGAAGCTAANCTCCTGTCTTCTTGATGTTCATTTAAACAATTGGAAGATAATCAGAGATCTCCGTGTCACAGGATGGGAGAGGATCCAAAGAAGCATGAGTTAGCATGATGCAAAACACTGAAAGACTGACTCATTTTAAAGATCCAACATGGTGAAACCGATTTTTACTGTGTTTTGTGGTTATAATAAACTGGGAGGTGTGAAATAAAAAGCTGGTAAGATATTCTGCCATTCCATAAGCCTTCCATAGGCCTTCCTTTATCTCGCACACTCAGTTCCATCTCTGCCAGTCATAGACGCAGAGGGAGTCTTCTTCCTGAATGGGGCGGGGACAGCAGTGGCTCAGCTTTATTTAAAGCGACACACACTGAAACAGCCTGTTTAGAAAAGGACTTAAACTAGAAGTTATACAGTCATGGTGAAATGAACCATCTTTGCTGTGCTGAAAAGCTGACAGACACACTCCAGGGACTTGCAAGAAATTAATTAATTTGGTGAAAAAGGCAGAATGTGCTAGAACCAGTTCTGTTGTGGACCCGTAGAACCAGGGTGGCACCTAGCGTACCAGCCCAAAGGTTGGCAGATGAGCCGATGCATCACCATAAAAGTAAATGTCTGTCAGAACAAACCAACAAGGTGGCACCATTCATTGTTTACCTGCACAGATTAGGTCCAGTTCTGGATGTTTACGAGATGGACACAAGTACAGCATGACTGATGGTTTTTATTTGCATAACTTTTCCGTCCTTTGATGACGGTTCGTGTATGAGGTTTGCTATTTTGAGGCTTCAAGCAGTAACCATGTTAACTGGTTGTTGCTTTGCTTTGTTTTGTTTTGGTGGAAACGTAACAGTTCAAGTTTAGGTTCACAAACGAGAACAGAACTGGTTCTGTGCTGTTAGGAGTAAAAGATTCGGAGGTGTTCTGTGGTTGCTGGTTTTGCAGTTGTCATACACAGTTAACGGGACGATTTTGGCTGTATTTTTTTTTTTAAATCTCGGTTCCTGTTCACACTCCGCCTCCTTCCTCAGGTATAACGAGGTGAACGCCATCAGCCTGGCCTGCAGGACTGGCCTGCAGGAGTGCCAAAATCTGACCACGACTTGGTTCAGAGACTGGATGAACTCTGACATCAACCAGTGAGTCGACAATTTCTCCTGACCACTATTTTAATTACCTTTGCTGCAGAGTCCAAGCCAGGTCTGAAGTCTTTAGATAGGACCAGTCCAAGTCAAATCTTAAGTCACTTC